GGGTGGGGAAGAAGGGTCTGGTCCCTCTGCTGTTGACTCTCTTCCTGTCCCCTCGCCCCCTCTCACAAGCCTTTGGGTCCCTCCTGCCCAGGTGCAGGGAGGAGGGGGCAGGGGACAGGGCAGTTCCTCCTTGGATGACCCAGAAGTGCAGTAAAGTGGTGCCCCCTGGTGGATTTGGTGGGTATGTGTTTTGGGGGCTCTGAGGCTGTCCCTTTCCTGGAGACGCCTTGCCGGGGTGGGGGCACCTTTGATCTGGGTTGTGGCTCTTCCCTCAGCCCCTCCCAGGGGGGCTCTATGCCCACCACCCATAAGCAGACACCCTGGCTCCACCATGAGAGCCACCTGCCTCTCGCCCTGGGTTTCCTGGGGGTCAGCTCCCAGCCCCTCAGCTCACTTTACATTAACACTTTCCAAAGGCTGTGAAGTCCCCTCCTCGCTGGGCCCTGGGTCAGCCCATGTCCCAAGAAGGTGGGCTGGGGACTTCCAGGCACCATCAGCTTCCCTGAAGAAATGTCTTCCCCCATCTGTTTTTTTTTTTAAAGGCTTTTTATTATAAAGAACTTCGAACATAGGCCACAGCAAAGAGGACATATGATGAAGCCACATGGGCCAGCTTCCACATTTCCCACGGCCCATCGTGTTCCCTCTCTCCCCCTCCACCCCGGCATGGGTTAAACTGTTTCTCCTTTAGGGGAAAAAAAAAAACCCCCTAACACCCAATACCTGCCACTGTGATCTTATTTGGAAACAGGGTCTTGGCATGTGATCAAGTTCAGATGAGGTCATTAGGGTGGGCCCTAACCTAACATGAGTGGTGTCCTTATCAAAATGGGAAATTTGATCACAGACACGCACAGAGATGAGGGCAGAGATCAGGGTGACACATCTACAAGCCACGGGCTGAAGACTGCTGGCAAACCACCAGAAGCCAGGAGAAAGGAACGGAGCAGGTTCTCCCCCACGGTTCTCAGAAGGAACCAACCCTGCCAACACCTTGATCGCGGACTTCTGGCTTCCAGAACATGAGACAACACGTTTCCGTTGTTGAGGCCACCCAGTTTGTGGTATTTTAAGGCAGAATACACACACTCCCCCTGATGATTTGAAAGCAGATTCTAGACGTCAGGTCACTTTTTCTGAGGCCCTTTTCCATCCTTGACCTGGCTGAGGGATTCCAGCACAACGGCACACGTTCTGACTCACTTCTTTCGAAAATCCATATGGGCAGGGGTTGGCCTCACCCTGTTTCCTGACGGCTGTGATGTTACTGTGATGTTACAAGTCTTGTTACTCCTAGCTACAACGATCGAGGCCAGGCAAGGTCTTACTCCAGGCCTCAGTGTCCCAACACGGCCAGCGAGAGGCACAGGGAGAGGTAGGTGACAATATGGCTTCAGCCCAAGCATTTCCCGCCCGGCCTCTGCCCCCCTTCTGACTACTGGCTCCAAACGGCTTTTTCTTTCCTTAGTCAAATCTGGTGCTCTAAGGATCAAAGTTTATGTCCCTTGAGGATTTTCAAAGAATGTGTCATGAGCTCTCCAGGCACTCCAAGGAGGCATTCCACAGATGTTTCTGGCAAGGGCCAGCCTGCTGATGGGTGGTCACTGTGGCCACCTGGCCTGGCCGGCCCCACATACGCAGACGGCACTTCTGGCCGACTCGAAAGACATTGACCACATTATTATTTTCTTTTTTCTTTCTGAGGAAGATTCGCCCTGAGCTAACGTGTTGCCAATCTTCCTTTTTTTTTTTACTTGAGGAAGATTTGCCCTGACTAACATCCCTGCCAGTCTTCCTCTATTTTGTATGTGTGTCCCCGCCACAGCACGACTGGTGAGTGGTGTAGGTCCATGCCCAGGATCTGAACCCATGAACCCGGGCTGCCGAAGCGGAATGCGCCCAACTTAACCACTATGCCTCGGGGCTGGCCCCCGACCACGTTATTTTATAGTCTGTGTTATGACTATTAAAAAAATTAATTGGGGGGAGCCAACATCAGCAGACTCAAAGAATTAGCATACTGGCTTGGTGTTCTCAAAAACGTGTTTATTCGCTCATTTATTGCTTTTCTGACTGTGTGCTTAAGGGAGATGGTCTGATGAGAGCTCAGCTTCCCACATCGCACCCGCTTGTGGGGTCAAGCCCGCACTCTCGGACAGAAGGAAGTAACAAAGGGGACCACAGACCTCGGGCCCACAGACCGCGTTGAGGGTGTGAGTGCTGGATGAGAGCCCTCGGGAGCAGGGAGATGCCAGGATCGGGTTCCTAGCAATGGCTGACGCCCACACTCCTCCGCCTGAGCCGGAGTCTGAGTCACTCCGGGAACTTGCCTGAGTTATTTCTATAAACAGCACTGAGGTCGTCCCTTGAGGAGAGGTACCCGGCGGTGCCCAGCCCCAGGCGAGAGCCTGACTTGCCAAATGCAATTACTCACAAGATGGCACGGAGCTGTTCTGCTTTTCCTGACTCTTTGATTACAAAATAGAATTTATCTTAAAAACAAAAAATAGGGAATTAGGGCAGGAACTCGGTTGGGCCCTCTGCCGAATGGCCTCTTCCTGGTCATGACACCTGCCTGGCCGCTCTGTGTGGCCTCAGCTTTCTGTGGGATGAGGGGTCTGGGCAGCGCCTGCCCCGCAGGCCGGGCGGGGCCTGGCCTGGAGAGCGCGGGGGGAAGGAGGGCGGGCCAGGTCCTGGGCTCAGGGGAAGTCGCAGTAGGGCAGGCGGAAGGGGTAGAGGGGCGTGTAGCGCGAGTCGTGCCAGAGAAGCTTCGCCTCCAGGAAGGCGACGGTGCGCAGGGTCAGGACCAGGGTCTGGTGCTTCAGCATGCTGTGCACGTTCAGGCCTGGGGGGGCGGCGGGCAGTCAGCGCTGGGCTGCACCCCCACATCGGGAGCCCTCACGGAGACACCAGGGTCTGGCATGGGGTCGTGAGCCTGCGGCCTGGGTTATCACCCCAGCTCAGCTGCCCACTGCCGGCGAGACGCTGGGCAAGGGACTGTCCTCAGCTTAACTTCTGACCTCGTGCCCAGCTCTCGCCTGCGCTCGGAGGCGACTCCCACCCCCACTCCAGGGGGCAGACAGACGATAATAAAGAAACACAATGTACGGAGGGAGGGAGGGGGGCCTGTGTGGCTGCCATAGTGAGCGAGAGGGAGGAGGGGAGGGCAGGAAGGAGACGGGGCGGGCCACGTAGGATCTGGGGGCCTTGGGCAGGCCTTGGGTTTTCACCCTGGGTGAGGTCAGAGCCATCGAGGACTGTGGGCAGAGGAAGGGACGGGACTCAGGGGCTCACAGGCGCCCTCTGGTGGCCGTGGGAGGGGCCAGACTGTGGGGACGAGGGCAGGAGCCAGGCACTAGAGCAGAGGCCACTGTGCAAGTCCAGGTGGGAGGAGCTGGGGGCTGGTCCAGCGTGGGAAGAAGGGGTCGGATTCAGATGCGTTTAAAGACAGCTGACAGGGTGAGCTACCAGACCGGTGTGGAGGGTGATGGTGCGGTGTGGGGCCTGAGCCATGGGAAGGAAGGGGTTCCTGTGTGCCAAGAGGCCTATGGGCCTGTCCAGGAGGCAGCTGGCCATGCCATCAGGATAAGGGGAGAGAGCTCTGGGGATCAGTCAACACGGAGATGGGGGTGACACACTCAGGACACGAGAGCCTGCCTCTGCGCCTCTCTCTGAGTGAGGAGCCAGGCCAGCACAGCCGGCGGGCCCCTGCGCTCACTCCACCCGGCCCTGTGCCCCCTGCTCTGACACACGTGACCTCAGGGTGTTTCTTTAGGAAAGACGCCATTCTCCTGATGCCCCATTTGGGCAAGCTGAGGGGTGGGCTGTGGAGGGTGGGACCGAGTGGCACACACAGGATATGAGCTGGCCCGTGCGCTCTCTGGGGGTGTGGGGGGCAGACCGGGGCGCGGTGCTCACCGACAGCTGGGACCAGGTTGAAGGTCTTGAGCGCGGAGGTGGCAGCCACGACGCTGGGAGGCATGTCCTCGTGTTCCCTGTAACGGAGGCCGGAGGTGAGCCGGGTGGAGCACTGAGCCCGGGCCCCCACCTCGGCCCGCCTGCCCCCTCACAAGTCCACGAGGAGCACGGAGTCCCCCCAGCGGCGGTAGCGGGCCAGCTCTGTCAGGTACTGGGGGTCTGCCGTCGGCAGCTCGAGGGAGTCCACGACGTGCAGGTGGTCCTGGCGGGAGGAAGTGACCGTCTGAGCCCCCCCGCCCCCAGCCGCCGCCTGGGCTCCCCAGCCCCCACAGCCCACCCCCAGGCCCCCGGGGCTCCCGGCAGGATGGAGGCTCTACCTGCGCCAGCTTCACGGTCAGCGCCACCTTGAGGCCCTGCACGCGCACCTTCATGGGCAGCATGTAGAAATAGCTGGTGGGGCCCCGCGGGCCGTGCGCGACGCCACCTGCGGGGACGGACGGGGAGGACAGGCGAGGGCCCCAGCTGGGCTTGGCTGGCCTCTTTCCTCAGCTGTGAGACTCTGAGTGAGGGCCGTCTACCCGCGTGTCCACCCTCTGCTGGGCCCTGGGAGGACAGCAGGGAACAAGACGACAGGACCCCCGCCCTCACGCCAGAGGCTCCACCGCAGAGGGAATCAGGGCTGTGCGGGGCAGCACGAGGGGCTGTAGAGGGCGGGGGGACCCAAACGAGGCCAGGGAGGGCTTCCTGGAAACGGTGTGGCTCAAGCCACACACATTAGAAGGACAGAGGAGTAGGCCAGGCAAACAGGAGAGGACTCTGAGTCAGCTGTCTGGTCGGGGAGGGTGCCGAGGGGACAGGGGGAGGGCTGTGCAGCCACCAGCGCCTGGAATGCCAAGGTCAGGGGCTCAGACTTCAAGGCAGTGAGGTCTGTGGGCTGAGTCCTGCGGCCCCGGCCCAGGGGGGCTGATGAGGTGGAGGGATCCCCCAGACCCCGCGTTAGCGCAGACCCCCCGGCCCTGCCCTGCCCACCTCCTCGCCAGATCGGAGAGCGGATGCTTCCATGCCTGGCGCGCCCACTGCCCTTCTGTGGCCAGGGCTTCCGGCCCCCACCCCGCACCTCGGCCCGGGTCTTGGTCTTGGCGTAGCTCTGTGGGCACAAAGTGAGGAGGGTCAGGTTCACGAGGCAGGTGCCATCGCAGCCGAAGGGAACAACACAGCAGTGAGCTGGCGGACCGGGCCTGCCGCCGGGCCCCCCGACAGGAGGCACAGAGATTGGGGCTCCGTGGGGACAAGCACGGGGTGCTCCGGGAGGGAGGCAAGGATGAGGAAATCGAGAATTCCCTCCGCTGCTCCAGAATGTCAGCCTCCGAAAGGCAGGCGCTCTGCTGCCTGGGACACAGTATTTTTTGCATGATTTTAATGTGGCTACAACGGACAGGAAGGAGGAGCATGGGGAAAGACTCAGCTGGAGAGAGTCAGGGAGAGGTGGGGGTGGGGGACCATGAGGGCTTCCAGTGCCAGGCTGACAACTTCATTCTAGGCCGACGGGGGAGCCAGGGAGGGTGTGAGCAGGGGAGGACTTGCTGGACTTCTTTTTTTTTTTT